ATATATATATAATATAATATATAATATATATATAATATATTATTGGATATTTAATATTAATATATATATTATATATATATATATATAGATTTATTGGATGAATATTATTTAATATATATTATATATATATATATAATTAGTTTATTGGAGAATATTATATTTTATATATATATATATATAATAGTTTTTTGGATGACTATTGATTTTATTATATATATATATATATATTATAGACCTTGAATTTATAATTAAGTGTTTAAATGAAATTTTTTAATATTATATTATTATTTAACTCAGATGTGAAAACCAAGACCCAAGTGAAAAGATGTGCAAAGATTGTTGTTTACTATTCAAAGAAAGCAAAGAAAAACGTGCCATCTAACCTCTTCCATAATTTCTTTTGCCCCCTCATCTCCCTAGGTTACCTCCATCCTACCTTCTCTTTTCCAACAAGATGTGCCAACTTTGAAATAATAAAATAACATTAAATTTTAATACAAAATTGGGTGTCTTATGTCAAGATATCATTACCCAATTCTTTAATAAGAACTCCATAGTTTTTTGTTAAAATCAGTAGAAAAAAGCAATTCCTTCAACTCATTGAAGATGACATTAAGTATTCCCTACCCAAACGCCATTTTATAATTTGCGGTAAGTAAATTATATACAAATGTAACTAATTTTATATAAATAATGAATTCTTCTATGTTTTATCCATATTTTTTCTTTATTTTGTAATTTGTGAATTGGTATAATCACTAGTAAAAAAGAAGCTTTTTAACGCGCTATATATGCTTCAGTTTTACTGAAACCGAAGTGTATAAAAACGCGGTGGCATTTTTGTAGTTTTAGACAACTTATATACTTCGGGTATCAGTAGAACCGAAGCAGAAAATTTTTCAACATCTGTTACGCGCCAACTGAGGCATATAACCCGTATATTTTTTAAATTTTAATTATTTTTCGAAACTTTAGGCATCGGGTATCTTGAAACTGAGTCAGTATGCCTCTGTTACCTCAGGTAAATATTAACCCGAGGCAGTATACTCATACATATTACCTTTTTCACTCTTCCTCTTCTTCTCTCTCGCTCAGATCTCCTTCACTCTTCCTCTTCTTCTCTCTCGCTCACGCTCAGATCTCCTTCTCACCTTCTTCTCTCTTCTCTCTCGCTCAAATCTCAAAGCCACCACTCCGCCGCTCCGCCGCTCCGTTGCTTTGCTTTCACGGTACCCTTCTCACTCTTCCTCTTCTTCTCTCTCGCTCAAATCTCCTTCTCACAGTTCCTCTTCTCTCTGTTCTCTCTCGCTCAAATCTCAAAGCCACCACTCCGTGTTCCGCCTCTCCGTCGCCACCACTCCGTTGCTCCGCCGTCGCCACATCTCCTTCAACGCCGTCGCTCCGTTTTCGCTGCCGAAAGCCATGGCTGCATCCCACCCTGCAACCCCATCCCGTCACGCCTCCCACCCCGCAACCCCAACCCGTCACGCCTCCCACCTCGCAACCCCAACCCCACCACCAATCGCCACCAAACCGGACGCGATCTCACTCCATCAGCGGACACGATCTCAGATCTAGTGTTGTTCGTGGACCGCCTGGTGCGGCCCTGTCCAGTGGTGGAGCCGCTGGCCAGCACCCGGTCCAGCCCCCTTCCGAGCCCTCAACCACCGTGGATGAAGCTGTTGTGGGATCGTCCGGCTCCGCTTCGAAGGCCGAGGATGGCAGCGTCAATGAGGATGCGGCTGGGTTCTACCAATTGAAAAGGTGACTTTTTGTACTGGGAAATGGGGGAGAAGGAAGGAGCTATCTTGAACTATTATGGGTGAAAATGGGGCCGAGGATGGCAACGTCAATGAGGATTTTCTTTCATTTTTTTCCATTTGTTATGCTGGTTTTATCTGCTCTGTGATGTATCCTTACTCTGATTTTCTGATTTTTGGTTTTATCTGCTCTGTGATGTATCCTTATTTTGATTTTTGGAGTTGGTTTTGTGTTTTTGAATTATAACTGAAAATGCTTGAGTTCGAATTCTATATTGAGACATGGCTGCTGTATTAAAGGATTGAGGAAAAGACCCAAAAAATGGTTCAGCAGTTTTCTGAAATTTTTTTATTGAATTTTCTAAGATACTGACTCGGTTCAAAAGAGAATCGAGGCGAAAACCGATCCCTTTTTGACCCGATTCAGAACCGAGGCATTAAACTTATCCTTTTTACCTCGCCTCTATATGTTTCGGTTGTAGAACCGGTGCATATAAGCGAAACTAACCGATGTCATTTCCGTTTATTGCACTGGTGAATATTACATAGATGCTACGTAGTTATCACATATAGTGTGAAGTTAAAAATAGACTTTTATGCTGATATTTATCATATAACATATCAATTGATATGTATAGTGTGAAGTTAAATTGCCATTAAATCTAACTTGACAGTTACACATATAAACTTAATAAACTTAGCATTGTTATATATTAACCAAATATAATGGAATTTACAATTGAAAGAACTGTAGTAAGTTAACCTATAATCCGGATTGAAACCTTTTGTTTGGATTCAGATTGGACTTATAAAACATGAACTAATGCTTCTTGATGCTCACTCATCACTCTAGTTTGAAGTGCTTTTCAATGGTTCCTAGAAGAGTGGAATTAATGTAATCTTGGGGACAATGAGCAGGTAGACCAGGTATTACTATCCCTATAGCCCTGAAACCAAACAGAATCCATCCTTCTCTGTAATAAGGTCCACTTTGGTACACAATAACGAAACTCCTTACCAGCTCCAAGATTGCGTTCAACATCATAGGTATAACGCACCACGGTGAGAAGTAGTTCTTATTCGGTTGTTCTTCAAGAACCTGCATTCAAATACAAATATAAATACACTCTCAACAATTACTAAAATATAAGATGGATTATTTATTTTGTAATAAATAACAATTATAACTATCATATACCTCAAGTTCATAGCGCCTGTTAAAGAAAAGACATGTCCAAAAGTGCTTGAACATCATTTCCTGATCATCGTAGGGCAACCTCGGAACAAGGTCGTTGCAGTAGACAAACCTAAAATACCTGACATAATGTTCCTTTAATTTTCGTTTCATATACTTTGCATACACTTCATCTCCAACCCTTGGTTGCCCGAAGGTGTAGATCCCTTCCAACCTCTCCAACAGCAATGTCTCTTGGTGCAAACACAAGATCGTCCCAAACAGTATTGAGAGTGCTCCTCCCAAACTGTGCCCTGTCACTATGAACTTTGCTTTCTCGTTTTCACTCAAAGCTTTTCTTAGAATGTCTCTGATGAGGTAGTAGGCTAAGGGAGGAAGACTCTCGTCTCGTTCTCCAACTTCCTTTGTCCATCCAACGTTTTTCTGTAGCCCTAAGGCTTTCATAAACCCACCATGCATTCTTCCAACGCCGGGAATTCCGTACCAGGAGATGTCCAGATCAGTGCACCATGCATCAGCATCGAACGGCTCCGTTCCTCTGAAAGCTACAACATATGTCTGCTGATCTTCATGCTTATCCAAAACAATTAACACTTGAGTTGTCGTCTTTCCTTGATACTCTGCCAGTGCAAGTCAAAAACATTACTAAAACATTCTAAACGTTAAAAGGATCGATGTTTTATTCTAACCATGTTAAATTAATTGTACGAGACTTGTTCAATTTCAAAACTCTCCATATCAAATTTCTGAATTAAAAACGTCTGCTAGTTATTAGTCTTTCTTTTTCTTTTTCTTTTATTTTTATCAGTCATAACTAATAATAAAATTTTAAAATATGAGATATTAGAGATGTTAAGCTGTGTATAGAAAAATATTAATAGATAAATATACATAAATTATATAAATAAATAAGTAGGTTTTGAAATCAAGATCTTATTCTCAAAAACTAATTTTAAAAAAATAATTTTTCACATAACAAATATTATATTATGATGTAATTTATGATATTTTTAAACTTAAAACATTATAAAATACTATTCAAATTCTAGAATTTTGGCTATAATATGTTAGAATTTAATTTGAAAAGTGTAGGATATGGTTTGAGTTCTTACCATTCATGCAGTTGTAAAGTCCCACAAATTCCATCTGTTAAATTCAAATCAGAAAACAAATGTAATTAATT